AATAGATATTAGCTCAGAGCCGGTCTTCCTCAGCAAAAAGAGGAGGATTAGCACGGATGTTAGCTCAGGGCTGATCTTCCTCACAAAAAAAAAAAGAAGAAAGGGATTTAAGACTGCAGGCACTGCTTTATCTGAGGATAGTTGAGTTCAACCTGCGATCAGGCCCCTTGCCTCACTGTGCTTCTGTGTTTAGGTCCTGCATGGTGGAAGAATCCGGAACCCTCGAATCTCAGCTTGAAGCTACCAAAGTAAGTGCCCCTAGGGCTTCTAGCCTAGCTAAGACCCTGCACCCGACCTCCCCAGCAGGCCTCCTGGTTTAAAGTCAGGCATGAGGTGGGCTGGTTGGGTAGCCCTTTCCCCTTGGCTTGAAGCAGCCGGGACCCCATCATTTAAAAAGTCTTTGACAGCTGCTCCCTAGAACCCCACTTGAGAAGGGAGAGGCTCCTTCTGTCCTCAGTTTATACTGTTTCCCTGGTGGGTTGACTCCCTAGTGTGTGATGCTCACATTGAAGTCTTTCCCTCCACCAAAGCAGTGGGATTTCTTCCACCTCACCCCATCCCGCTTTCCCTTCCGGACAGCCCTGCAGGTCTCAGGCCAGGCTGGGAGGGCCGAGACAGGGGGGCCGTTGAGCAGGCTCTTGGGCTTAGTGACCGAGGCAAGAGCCCTGGTCCCATGCATCTTTGCTCCCCCACCCCTGCAGCGCAAGCACCAGGAGATACGAGCCATGAGAAGCCAGCTCAAGAAGATCGAGGACCTGGGGGCCGCCATGGAGGAAGCCCTGATCCTGGACAACAAGTACACAGAGCACAGCACTGTGGGCCTGGCCCAGCAGTGGGACCAGCTCGACCAGCTGGGCATGCGCATGCAGCACAACCTGGAGCAGCAGATCCAGGCCAGGTACCTGCCCTGGGCTCTGGGCGGGTACTGGCGGCAGTGAGGGTCTCAGCCCCCCACTGACCACAGGTCACCCCAGGGTCCAGCAGTCAGTGTACTGGGATAGAACAGAACGTGTCACCTGCTGTGGGGTGGAGGGCCCAATCCTCAATCTTGTATATTCTTCCAGGAACACTACAGGGGTGACCGAGGAGGCCCTCAAAGAATTCAGCATGATGTTCAAGTGAGTACACCCTGCACCCTCCCTGGCTGGGGGGCAGGCCCAGCAGCAGGGCCTGTGTGCTCAGCAGTTCTTGGCTTTGCGCTGCAGACACTTTGACAAGGACAAGTCTGGCCGGCTGAACCACCAGGAGTTCAAGTCCTGCCTGCGCTCCCTGGGCTATGACCTGCCCATGGTGGAGGAAGGGGAACCCGACCCTGAGTTCGAGGCGATCCTGGACACCGTGGATCCCAACAGGTGAGCTTCAGGGAAGGTGGTGGAAGCCGTCTGTCTGCCTGCGGCTCCTGCTGCACCTCCCCGCTCACTGCACTTGCTCCTCCCCAGGGACGGCCACGTCTCCCTGCAAGAATACATGGCTTTCATGATCAGCCGTGAGACTGAGAACGTCAAGTCCAGCGAGGAGATCGAGAGCGCCTTCCGGGCCCTGAGCTCCGAGGGAAAACCTTATGTGACCAAGGAAGAGCTGTACCAGGTCTGGGGGCTCTGCTGCCCCTGCCCTGGGGAGGGGGGTTGAGGTTCCCTTTAAAAAGCAAAGCCCAAGGCTGCCCCTGGGTCCGAGTAGCAGACCCCATTTTGAACCTTACTCTGCTGGGTGCAGGCATTTTATTAACAAATGAAGTTGAGTCCAGGTCACAGTCCCGTGTCAGCTCATGGAACTGGCTATGGACTCTGAGTGTAGATCCTTCCAAGCATGGGCATTAACATCTTTGAAGTCTGCCCAGCCACCCCTGCGCCAGTGTGTGACAGGTGCATCTCCCTTCCAGAACCTGACTCGGGAACAAGCCGACTACTGTGTCTCCCACATGAAGCCCTACGTGGACAGCAAGGGCCGCGAACTCCCCACCGCTTTCGACTACGTCGAGTTCACCCGCTCGCTCTTCGTGAACTGACCCACCGCTCCTAGGTTAGCTGGCCCACCACTGCTTGCCCTGCCGTCGCCTGCTGCATGTCAGCCCATCTCTGTGCTCTTAAGAAACATATTCCAGACAGTGTTACTTTCCAATGTAACCTTAAACCTGCTTAGCTTGAGAAAAGACAGTAGAAAATGGTGCTTCAATAAACCGCTTCTGGTCCAGTTGCAATCGCCATGTTGCTGTGGGGACCCAGATTCCTGTCTTGAAGCCAGCTGCCCCATTCCGACTTCAGAAAAATCTAAGCAGCTGGCTAGTTCCCCTCTTGTTCTCTAGTTACCCCCCACCACCACCATTTTCTGTTTTCACGTAAAAGACAAATAAACGACTTGACTATCCCCAAAAAGCCTGTCTTGTCTTCATTCAGTTTCCATCAGAAATACACAGCTCAGGGCCTGCCCCGTGGCTTAGCGGTTAAGTGCGTGCGCTCCGCTGCTGGCAGCCCGGGTTCGGATCCCGGGCGCGCACGGACGCACCGCTTCTCCGGCCATGAGGCCGCGTCCCACATACAGCAACTGGAAGGATGTGCAGCTATGACATACAACTATCTACTGGGCCTTTGGGGGGAAAAAATAAATAAATAAAATCTTTAAAAAAAAAAAAAAAGAAATACACAGCTCAGCACTGATGGAGCCTCGCCCCCTGCCTCTGTATTTAGGGGCACTCCCCGCCATGACCCTGCTGTTCCTCCACTGTCCTCAGGTGGCCACCTCTGCCGCCAGCTGCTCCAAGTCCTCTGTCTCCCCAGGCCCTTGTTCAGTGAACTCGGTGCTCAGCTGCCACACCTTCACTGTGCCCTGGGCGTCGCCAGCAGCCAAGAGCTGAGTCTGCTGGCGATTAAATTCAAGACAATAGACAGGGCTGCCATCCTGGGTTTGCTTGATGGAAACGGTGGGTTTCTGGGAGCTTTTCTGGAGATCAAACAGTTGCACGTCACCTTCAGAAAGAGATTTGTGGGGTAAGAGAGGCCTAGAGCAGCGGCCCCTGAGCTGCTTCAGAGTCCCCTGCACCTGGGAAGAGAAACTCGCGAGTCGAGGCCTCAGCACAGAAAAGGCTGTTGCCCTCTTTGTTCTCTCTCCTCCCAAGCGAGGAGAGTCATCCTCACCCCACGTGCAGTCTCGCCCCAGAATTCCAGGTACAGACTGGGCCCCCGTCACTTAAACGGATCCAAGCCTGCTGTCCCATTTCCTACCTTCCCCAGAAGCAGCCGCAAACACCAAAGGGCGCACTGGGGACCAGCGCACAGCAAACAGGTACTTGTGGGACAGCCGCAGGGAGGTCAGCGGCTGCGCCTGCAGCATGGAGTACAGGTGGACGTGGCCGTCGGTCCCTGCGCTCAGGAAGAGGTTCCTGGACAGGACGTGGGGCAGAGAGCCAGGCAAGGGATGAGTGCTGGGTGCCTGGGGAGCTAGGGCCTTCCTGCCGAGCTCCTGGGCTGTCAGGCTCTTGAAAAGCACCTCCAGCCCCCAAACCTGGGGTCCTTGGGGGAGAGGGGCCAGTTCCCCAAAGCCAACTACCAGAGTTCTGGATACCAGGGCTCCGGTGGGAAGACCCAGGCTCAGGACAGACTGCAGTTCTATGGCATGGCCTGGTGGGTCCCTCCTTGTGCCAGAGGCCCAGGCCAGGGTCTCCCCTACCTGTGGAAGGGGGAACAGCTCACGGAGTAGACGGGGCCACCATGGGGAGAGAAGGTGAACTGTGCCGGGGCCCGCAGGGGCACAGAGCTAGGCATCCGCGTGAGGGCGGCCTCTTCCGCTGCCAGGGAACACTTGAGTGGGAAGCCGCCTTCCGTGCCCAGAACAAAAAGGCTGGGGTCAAAGCTGGAGAAAGCCACTGCCGTGGTGCCCACCTCCGTCTCCCCCCGGGGAGGCTGTGGAGAAATGAACGACAGGGCAGAGCCTAGGGAACCAGTCATGGTGTCCCAAAGGAGTCCAGGCATGCAAGTGGACGCCGTGGCCCGAGGAGGTCAGGCAGCAAGTCATGCTGAGCTGGCAGCACTGGCTCCCACCCCGCCCGCCCCAAGGCTCACTGGCCCAGGAAGTCCCACAGGCTGGGGCTGCCTCGGGCCCGTCCCCAGGGGCAGCAGCCTTGGCCTGGCCCCCACCTACCTTCCTTAGCTTGGTGTTCCGGGGGAGCTGCTGCACGACCAGGGCGAAGCCCTCAGTGAGCTGCAGCTGGCCCGCCCCGACCCCCTGCCAGAGCAGCACCTTCCCATCGGTGGCCACGCTCAGCACCTGGAAGCGGTGGCTGTGCCGGGGCTCGGGGAGCCAGACCACCTGGGACAACAGGGTGCTGGGGCAAGGTGGAGAAAGCGATGCCCGCCCCCGGCCTACTCCCTGCCTCCCGCAGGACAAGATGGCACGTTCCAGCCCCACCCTCCCCTTCTCTTCCAGGGGAGAAAAACAGGGAGAATTCTGGGGGAAGCCTGGGAGCTGCCTCACCCACCAGGGGGCAGGAGGGGTCCCTCCCCTGGTCCCAGCAGAAAGCCAGGACAGCTAGGAGCCCCGAGCTGCAGCTCCAGGGTAGGCGGCTGGGACCGGCCCTGGGGGTGACTCATGCCCGGGGAGCGCCAAGAATGCCGGGGGCAGCTGTCCAACTGCCAGCTCCCTGTGACCTTCCACAGCTTTGCCTCAAGGGGCAGGCACACGACAGCCAGGCCAGCTCCGAGTGGGGCAGGTGCCTCCCCACTCCCGGGCAGCCCGCGGCGCTGACCTGGTACACGGGGTCTGTGTGTGTGTCGTCCGTGAGGCCCGTGCGCCAGAGCAGCGGGTCCTCGGGCCGGCTCACGTCCCACACCAGCACCTCACCACTGTACAGCCCACCTGTGGGACCAAGCGGCTTGAGCAGAGCTGACCCACAGCCAGCAGCCTGGCTTCCGGCCAAGCACCCACCCCACCCGCCCACCAAGCAGGGACGCGGAGCCACTTCCCTGAACACCGTCCTGGAGAAGGAAAAGTCCTGGTCCCCAGGCCTCACACTCCAGCCTGCTGTGCCCACCCCAGGAAGCTTCTCCCACTGCCAGGCTGCTCCCCACCGCCCACGCCCTGCCATTCTCTCCAGCTGCACCTGCCCCCTTTCCAACATGCACGGCTGCTGTCACCACCGACAGCTCCTGAGGGAGCCTGCTCCATCCTGCCTCTTGTCCCAGCCAGGCCGCACCGCCGCTGGGCCCACGCCCCCTCAAGACTCAGCTGAGGACCCGCCTCCTCTTCCTCTGAGCTCACGCCTGGCTGGGCCCACTCAGCATCCTCACCTGAGCCCAGGGGTCAAGGCTGCCTGTGGTCTCTGCCTCCCAGGAGTCCTGCGCTGGCCAAGCCCAGGGGCTGAGGGCCCAGTGGAGAGCTCCCTTTGGCGCCCTCTGCAGGCTGGGCAGCTCACCTGCAATGTGGGATGGCTGCGTGGGGTGGAAGGCCAGGCACATGACGGCGCTGGGCACCTCCACCACCACCGATGGCTGCCGGGGGTTCAGGCCTCGCCGGTCCAGGTTCCAGGCGCACACGAAGGACTTCAGCGTGCTCCAGTCTCCGTCATCCAGCCTGCACAGGGACGTGCCTGAGCTGGCCCTGCCCCTAGGCCGGACTTCATCCCAACTGGCCCCATCCCCACCTCGCTCCTATCACCCGACCCACTTCTCCCCCAACTACCCCCAAACAGATGAGCCCATGTCCCCATCACACCCAGACACTGTGCTGGGTATCGAAGTGCCACTGGCTCCTCCTTGGCACCCTGAGGGCATGACTTTCTCTGGAAAAGGGTCCCCAGGAACCAAGGATGGGTCCATGCAATGGCAGGGCAGGGGAAGCCCAGCACATGAGAGAAAGCTCATGGAGAAGGTGAGAAGGCTGATGGCCGATGGGCACGATTCCTGGACTCTAAGCCCTTCCCTCCCCGTCTCTTTTCCTGCCAACCCATTACCAACCCCACCAAGGAGGCCTTGAGAAGAAAGACTCCCAGAATGACCAAGCTCTGGGTCAACCCTTCACTGCACAGATGGGGAGACAGAGGTGCAGATGAGCATCCAAGGGCCTTCCATTGCCCCACACCCACACCTGCTGCCACTCACCGGCCATAGGCACAGGCCACCACGGAGCCAGTGGTGTTCCAGGAGAGGCTGGTCACGTGCAGACCCTGCCCTTGGGCTGGGGGGTAGCCCAGGGTGTGCAGGCAGGTCACCTGCAAGAGACAGGCCATCCCCAACCCTGAGCCCCGTGGCCCCCTAACAAACACCACACGCAGGCCTGGGCCACCTGAAGCCCGGAAAGCTCCCCAGGTCCACTCCCAGCCCTGGAGGAAAATGTGCAGCCTTCAGCCTGACATCTCCCCAAACAAGAGGCTTCCAGAAACCCAGAAGGAAGGGCCTTGAAAATCGAGACAGACACAGGCTGCAGATGAGAGCTAGGCCCTGTCCTCACAGCTGTGCTCACACAATTTCAAAAGCTTTGGCTTCTGGAACTGGATGGTGATGATGGCCACACAACAGTGAGAATGTACTCAATGCCACAAAATCGTGGACTGAAAAATGGTTAAAATGGTAAATTTTATGTTATGTGTATTTTACCTCACACACAAAAAAATTTTTTAAAGCTCTGGCATCGGGCCGGCCCCGTGGCTTGGTGGTTAAGTGAGCGCGCTCCACTGCTGGCGACCCGGGTTCGGATCCCGGGCTCCCACCGACGCGCTGCTTCTCCGGCCATGCTGAGGCCGCGTCCCACATACAGCAACTAGAAGGATGTGCAGCTGTGACACACAACTATCTACTGGGGCTTTGGGGGGAAAAAATAAATAAATAAAATCTTTAAAGCTCTGGCATCTTGTTTCTCAGCCCATAGCAAGCTAGAAGCAGCGAAAGAAACGGCTGGCCATGCTAGCCACAGCGAGGCGGTTTGCACAAATGCTCCGGGAGGTGAGCTGCACCACAGATCAAAACTCCTGTGAAGGGGTTGGCCTGGCGGCATAGTGGTCAAGTTCCCTCATTCCACTTTGGTGGCCCGGGGTTCGCAGGTTCAGATCCCAAGTGCAGACCTATGCACCACTTATCAAGCCGTACTGTGGTGGTGTCCCACATATAAAGTAGAGGAAGATGGGCACAGGTGTTAGCCCAGGGCCAATCTTCCTCAGCAAAAAGAGGGGGATTGACAGCGGATGTTAGCTCAGGGCTAATCTTCCTCACCAAAAAAAAAAAAAAAAAAACACTCCTGTGAAAAGTTTCATGCTTCTTGACCTTATAATCCCATATAAAGAAATTATCCAATAGAAAGAATCCAGAATCTGTGAAAAGCTATATGGTGGGAACCTTTATACACTGCTCGTGAGAATGCAGAGCAATGCAGCCACTGTGGAAGACAGTCTGGCAGTTCCTCAAAATGTTAAATAGAGAGTCACCATATGACCCAGCAATTCCACCCCTAGGTACATATCCCAGAGGACTGAAAACATATTTACGCAAGAACTCACACACGAATGTTCACAGCATTATTCGTAACAGCCAAAGCGTCCATCAACTGATGGACAAACATGATGTCCCTACAATGGGGTGTTATTTGGTCATAAAAAGGAGTGAGGGACTGATCCACGCCACAACGTGGATGAACCTTGACAACATTCTGCTAAGTGGAAGAAGCCGGTAACAAGAGACCACACCTTATGTGATTCCATTTATATGAAATGTCCAGAATAGACCAAGCTATACAGAGAGAAACTGGATTGGTGGTTTCCAGGGGTTGGGGGGAAATGGGGAATGACTGCTAATGCGCATGGGGTTTCTTTTTCGAGTGAGGAAAATGTTCTAAAATTGATTGTGATGATGGTTGCACAACTTTGGGAATATATTAAAACCCACTGAACTGTACACTTTAAATGGGTGAATTACACGGCATGTGAAATATATTTCAATAGAGCTGTTGTTTTTTTTTTTAAGTTTTCACCCTGTAGGCATTTTGTGTGTGTGTGTGTGTGTGTGTGAGGAAGATCGGCCCTGAGCTAACATCTGCCAATCCTCCTCTTTTTGCTGAGGAAGACTG